CAGCGTGGGCAGTCCCGCCGAGCAGCCGCGAGGGCGAGTTTGTTGCCAACCCGCACGACTGCAGGAGATGTTCCTTTTTATTTGACTTGAGTTAGATCTCAACTGAATGATTTGTTCCAGAACGGTAGCACTAAAATATGCAAACATAATTCAGCCGAAAAGTCACGGAATGTGTGTTTATTTAAATAAAGACATGAAGTTTTGGTTAAGGGCGGTGTGTTTCACAATAGGCTAGAAAGCTGCCTTGAGGTAGAATTACAACAACCCTAATGCTGAGAATATTTGAAGTTGTTAAGGGTTGCATTCATAGGGACACTATTTCAACAATTAAATATTGTCAACAGAGATTTTGTAAAGAAATATACATTTATTTTAAATAGTTAAATTGCATCACAATTAAACACGGTTCTAGAAAACTTGCCACAGTTAGCCAGAAATGTTTTTTTAATGCCTCTTTAATAATTTACGTACACAATTTTTAGAGAACCTGAGGCAAAGTTGTTTTAGAATATCAAGAAAGACAATCTATCAGTCAAACTATTGCTTTTTGATACACAGAAAAACGAAACAAACATAACAGTGCCATAAAATTAACAATTTAATTTCTTCATTTATCTAGCTACATAGAAGGACATGGATTTCCATTGAGGGACAAGAGTACAGAAAATACCAGCTGTACATTTTGCAATAATTGCAAAACATGGGAAGTAGCTCCATATATTAGCTTATATAGGAACATTAAATAATAATAACAAAAACAAAATCTATAAAAAATTCTTCTAAAAGCCTTTTAACTTTGTGGCTCAAAACAACCTCTCATCCATTCTCATCCACAGTGTTATGAGTTATAAATAACATCTGTGTCCAAGAGTGTCACAAAGCTTGCAAGTATATTTGAACACAACTCATAGCACTATCAGATGCATTTGAGCATGTTATTCATTGGTCAACTAAAATGGAAGGCATCACTTACACTAGAATAGAAACTCTTAAAATGAATAAGTGTCCAAAGTTACAATGTCTTACTTCATTTTGGCACTCAAAGAAAAGTTACAGACTAAGTTCTAGAAGACAGTGAAAGGTTACTCTGCTGCACAAGCAAACCTCTCAGTCCCAAAAACATACTCTTCGGGAAAGGAAACAAATATTATGTATCTCACTAAGAAGCACATTTAAAAACCATTGCTTATGGATTGTGAAATACCACACAGGCATTCTCTTGGTCGGACTCAGGCACCAGTGTTGAATTTTGAAAGAAAGATGTACTGTTTTAACGCCAATGTTAAAACAAATAAGTAATTTATCAAAAGACATAAAAATATTTTGCGTATGAAGTAGGTGAATCTCCACCATATTTACACAACATTGAAAGGAATAAAACTGATGAGAGATTGTAACCCAGCAAACTGAGTGCATTTACTCATGATCAACTACTATACTCTATGGTTTGAAGCCCATCGAGATTCTGGCTTGGAACAAAAGATATATTTATAACAATAAAACTGAAACGCTTGATGAGCTAAAATAGTCATACTACAAAAGAAATCTTGTTGAGCAAATAATATATAAACAAAGTGAGCACTAATTAGTTGCTATAAGCCTATTACAGCAGGCAAACGTAGGTAATAAGGGAATATCGAGATTGGTCACAACAATTTACCCGGCAAGACACCATTGGTACTTTGTGAAGCCTGGAACAGTGTCATGAGAAAGCTTTTGAAAAATTATCTGGGGCACATAACTGTTGTCAAAAAGTTAAGGAATGAAAAATGATTAAGGATGGCAGTGGATAAAAGTAGCGGAATATTATTAGTAAAATTAACCAGCTGATGAAAAAACAAATATTTTCCAAACACACTAAAAAGTTGTCTCTGTTAAAATTCACAGTAAATTACACTCTAAATCAGATCCAGAGAATTATAACATACAGTACTGATAAGTTTTATATCACCATGACAGCACTAAAACTAGTTTGGGATGTATGGGGCAAAAGGGAAGAGAAATACAAAACAATGAATGTTCTGGCACATTACGTTACAAGTTGATTGCATAGAAGAGCCCAGGCTAGGTCTAGAGACTGGACCGCAAACCTGCACAGTTATACAGACTAGATGTAACAGTTCAACTATACTGCTCTATCCCATATGTGCAGCTCTAAGGAACTCGAATCATGATCGAATTATTCTTCACACAGCAGGTGTAACATCTGCCCTTAAGGAAACATGGGTTATACATTTCCTGCCAAAGAGTGAAAATAATCTTTCAGCTCCTCGTAAGTGTCATGAAGTAGAGCAAGACTTCTACAGCACTTAACAGCATATAAAAATACAGCAAAGGCTACTATAGTGACTCCTTTAAAACCAATACTGTAAAGACACCAAAAGAAAGATAACCCTGCACATGTTATTCTCAAACTACAAAGAAAGAGAATGTTAAGAAAAATATAGCATACTCTCACTAATGATATAAAATTATTTTTAATTCACGTGACAAAATTTCTGTACAGCATAGTGAGAGGAGCGGATTTGTACTCTCACAATAACTAGCACATTTACTGTCAAAATTTATATTGCCCCACTGAATGGAGAGCAACACTCCCTCTTTGTTAAGAAACAAAATTCACAGTAAATATGTTAATGAGAAAAAGCCTGATAACATTGAGATTTCTCCTGGCATAGACAATCAAAAATAATGAACAACAAAAGACATGACGATCATTACAATGCACTAAATGATAAAGATTTAAAGATTAATTTGACAATAATTTACAGTAAGAGATAAATCAGTCATCTTTTGTGTCCCGTATCAACCCATGAATAGCAATTTAGTTTAGAAAAAGGAAATACTATGAGTACATATTTGAATAAGAGCAACGCAAGTTGAATCAAGAAAAAAAGTATTAGTTTGAGGAATGGGCTACAAGATTATACTTTGAACAACACCTTCATCATAACCTACTTTCATATACAAGCTTGAATTATCCACAAATAAGTATAAGAGAAAAATACTAATTCTGAAAATAAAAGCAAAGGGAATTGTATAAATGTCACAAATAACAATATCATAAAATTTCAAGGAAGGTGGATATTTTGATTTTCAAGGTACCAGAACCACGTGTCAGTCAAAGAGTAATAATTTATAACTATACCTTAAACTATCTCAACATACTCTAAAACACTATAAATGTAAAAATCAATTGGATTTGAGGCACTGTTTTGGCCACTTTTCTAAGCTAGCAGAGGTATTCTCATAAAACTGCTAGATAGAAAATTGCCAATCATTCATCTTTGCAATCCTTTTAGGGGCAAGAAAAGAGAATGTGACTGGAACTAAAATGGCTAATGTCGGATGGCTGTACCTCCTCAGACCTCTCCGGATTTTATCCCTTAAAAAGGATGTTAAAAATAACTGAAGTATCCGTTGTTGTTTTTTTTAAAAGCATTACAAAAATAACACATTTCCCTGTGGAGTTCAGAGATCCTTTAACCCTCTTCACAACATCTCCTACACACATCCTAGGAATATCACAACACTGGAATTTCTTCCACTTCCACATTATTCACTAGATTACGTAGAAGCTAAAGATGCACCAAAAAGATGTTCAAAGTTGTCTTCAAATTTACATCAAATGTCTCACAGCACATTATTTTTTGTAGGCAGAGTGCTGTTGATGAAATATCAATATGCATCCTTCAAATCAATAAATAAATAGATAGCACTAAAGCACTTTACACAGCAACAATATCTACAGCAAAACAACTTTGAATGCAATAAAGTCTTGTAAATGCTTACAAGGAAAGTATGTAATACATATCCTCTAATGCCTCTTAAAGTTTTAAAACCTGAAATATTCCAAAAATGAAAATGTATTAATTTCAGTTGAGTCCAAATTGCTGAAACCAAAGAATATAGAGAAAAAATTGGGATAACTTACCAGCAAGTCTAGGGATAACTTGTAGTTTTAGACAGCACAGCCTTTGCGGGTTCCATACAGAACTTTGAGCTCGGGAAAGATAACTCTCCTGATTAGAACATTAGTTTTTCCTGCTAGCATGGCTCTTTGAGGATCCTTTTTCAAAGTTTTTATACCAGGTTTGTGCACCAAAAAGGCGTTGTCAAGAATTTGGAAATCATAGTTGAGTACACACAGTGCATAACCCTGAAAAGAAAAGAAAAAAAACAAAGAAACATTTAGTTGAGAGATGGAAAAACAAAATGACCAATGGTAAAATTTTAACCAGCT